AGAACTGTGGCCACAATGCCAATATAGGAGACCACCGTGAGGGCAAAGGAGCTCATGACAATGCAGCTGCCGACAGCAAAGCCCACCTCCTCACTCACATGGTAATCAGTGCAGGAGAGTCTCATGACTGGAGGGATGTCACAGAAGAAGTGCTCAATGACATTGGGTCCACAGTAGGGGAGGGAGAAGGTGTTGGAAGTGCGGAAGGCTGAGTAGATGGCCCCACCTACCCAGGCAGTGACCACCAATGATGAACAATAGTTCTGGCTCATGATGTTTCCATAGAGCAGTGGTCTGAGGATGGCCAGGCACCGGTCATAAGCCATGGTCGTCAGCAGAAAGCATTCAGTACATGCAAATGTAAAAATTATGTAAAGCTGTGCTACACACTCAAGATAGGAGATGACTCCTGAGCCTGTGAAGGATATAACCACTGCCTTGGGAATGGTGGCTGAGGTGTAGCATATGTCCAGAAAAGACAAATTCTTCAGGAAGAAGTACATGGGAGAGTGGAGCCGACTGTCTCTCATCACAGCCATGATGATGGAGAGGTTTCCCAGGAGGCCAAACGTGTAAACAAGCAAGAAAAATGGGATGACCACCAATCTCAGCTGAGGGATATCTGAGAAGCCCCTGAGGATGAAGTGAGTCACTCTTGTGTGATTGGACATGTCTGCTCAAATTGTGTTCAGATGCAGTGCCACACACAGCTGAGGGAGAGGACAGAAATAACAGGCAGGCTCAGAACAAGTGTGTGTATGTCCATGTTGACTATGGAGGTATGCCTTTTATCAGACAAATAAATTGTTGAAGCAGCCTATCTTGAGGAATTAATTCAGAGGAAGGGAGTTGGGTGAAGGATGAGCAGGATGGGTGAAAATGAATAGAGGAATGGAGAGAGAAGGAAGAACTGGAGAGAGAAAGGAGAATTGGAATGGAGGAGAGAGAGGGGTGTGGAGCAGGAAGGTAGAGACAAAACATCAGTCAAAGTTCTCTTGTTTTTAAATTTTGCATAACTTCAGGACGAGAAACAGCCTCGTGTGTTCACTTTAAATTTGTTTTACAGTCATGTGTGTGTGCATTATGTATTTCAGTCTCTCTGCGTATTAATATCTATTTCTATGCATATCTATATCTACATATCTATATAGCTATATAAACACATTCTCTCTCTATGTCTATGTCTATCTAGATCTTAGGTTTCCAAATAGAACAGAGTTAAGCCAGAGGAGAAGAGCTCAAATCCTGGCACCAAGTATCTCTGTGCCTTTTGTTTAGGGTATTCCTAGATACTGGAAATGGTCTACTGTTCTGCCTGAGCTCGAGCAGAGTAGAGGTGTGTTCCTCTCACGGTTGGGCCCCATTTGGAGTTGTCTATGATGTCCTTGTCTGAGGTTTCCTTATCATCTTGTCTCCTGTGATGCCTTGACTCCAGCTCTTCAGACACAAAGGCTATGTTCTCATTCTGTCGTTACCTCAGCCTTCCAAGGAAAGACATTCTCCTTCATGCTTCTATTCATCTCCACAAAGACTGAATGTCAATCCAGTCTAGCAAGGCACTCTCCATACAGCCCACCACCAGCTACTCAATGACCCCAGCCCTCAGGAATCTATGTCTAACATGGATGTGAAACTTCCTTCCTCAGCAGAATCCTCTGAGGACCTGACAGTTTCTAAAAGTGGCTGTATTGTACCAGCTTAATAAATTTGTTTAATTTTTCCTCTGTCAGTTGGTTTTTTGGAGACAAGTTTCACCATAAGGTAGCAGAGTCAGTTCCAGCCCTACTTGGTGTATGAAATGCACAGGAGGCCATGTCCTTCCTCTGCTGCCATGAACCAGAGGAAACCACTCATGATTCCTGCAACCTCAGATAGCTAAGCACTGACATCTGTGAGTGCTCTTGTGAAGATGGCTTTAGATTAAACTTTTATTGAGTTAGTCATTGATTAACTGTCCTGAGTTCACTCTCTGATCAAGAAGGCCTTAAACTTACAATGCCCTTGCCTCTGCCTCAGAAGCAGCTGGCCTGTCAGTCTTGTACCACCAGGCCATTGTCTATATTCTGAGCCAGATGGAAGACAACACTTGGCCAACTTTAGAAACAGAGGTTTACAGCAGTTGTTATTCCAATCTGTAACAAAGTCTGCTGAGCAATGAGCATGCTTCTTGTTTTGTCTCCAGCTGATGCTATATTCTAAGAAGCAGTGGTGAAATTATACTCAGAGAGGATGTGATAGAACAAATCCTCAGCTTTTTGTACAATGTTTTCTAGTTTGTAGACTTTCAACTTTCCTAAAAGAAATTCAAGTTGATTGATACACAGTGCACACATCTTATAATTAAGCACAGAGGAGATTTTTTGTTTTATTTCATTCAGCTCTCACCTGGTGGAATGATGCTCACTTTCTGTGTCCAGAGGTCATCAAGTGGGTGAGATGACAGCAGGACTGTCTCTCAGGCAGTAAGTCAGCTGCCCTGGCAAGGAGTTGCTGGAGGTGTGGACAGATGAGTCTATCTGATTCCCTTTGCACGTCTTAAATATTGTGAAATGATTCACCTGCCAGTCTATCTGGGGAAGGAGAGAGCGTGCTTTGTACTGTCTGGGGAGCTGGCTCTGGGAATATGTTTGGTTCCTATCAGGTCCCACGGACTAAGACTTCTCAGGGTCCCTGTGGGTTTTCTCAGAGAACTGGAAACAGAATATTTCCTGAGACCACATGAAAATAATAGTTGGCACACTAAAACCTGGATTGACTTAAAACCGCAGGCTTGAGTCTATGAGATGGACATTTATTTTAAGGCATAAATATCTGTATACTATATAGACCACAAACATTAAAGGAAGTGTTCTGACCTCATCATTTACTTCGTCCAGGATCTTAAGGTACTCAGAAGCATCAACCAAGCCATGTGCAACCATGTATCTGCTCTTGTGACCCGTGTCTTTAAACATTTGGTCACCCAGATCCTTGTCTTGTCTTGCAGATGCATGGATGGCATGGTTTAAATGACAGGGTTGATAGTGTATGCCAATAATTGTCACCCGGAGCCTGCAGATCAACCTTTTTCACTTACAACAAAATCAATCATACTTTCCAATACATCTAGACTGGGGAACAGAAAACAGAGCCCAGCACTGCTGGGGTTTGGGAAGGGGAGTATAAATTTGAGGCCAGCCTGGGCTATGTAGCATGGTCCTGTCTAAAGGCAAACAAAGCAAACAAATAAGTGACATATTTGTGTGTTTGTGTTAGTGTTTGAATGTGTATGTGTGAGTGAATGTGTCTATATGTGTGTGTTTTAATGCCTCTATGTGACTGGTGCTTTCTCTGTAGTATCTACTGTAATCCAGTTTGTTTCTTGAGTTTTGCTAAGGCCACTGTGGAAACATAAATACAAAAGGGAACACATGCATATTGGAAGTGTAATGGTCTGTGATGTTTTGCTGTGGGAGGAAGTGCATGTAAACAAAGGTCTGACCAAGCAGTGCATGAGCATCAGCTCAGGAGTCTTTCATACCTCCTCCCAATCCACGCACCTCCATGGAGGGCTGGAGGTAGTCTTCCAAACCACAGGATAGCTACCCATCTGTTCTGACTGACTTTTGTACCTGGCTTCTTTGACTGATATTTTGCATGTGAGATGCATGAATCTTGTTGTCTGTATTTACAATATGTATTTGTATATATCTCCAGGTTTTGTTATTTTTGATAAGGGCATATTCATAAATATTTAGACATATAAGGAATTCAATTTATAGCAAGAAAAAAATTGAGTATCGGCAAAGTACCTGAAGTGATATTTATCAGAAGACATACACATGCCAAATAGATAAAGGGAACACCCTCAAAATCTGCACTAGCAATAGATTTCAACATCATTCTTTTCATATTAAAACTTGTAAATATTTCCTCCCTTTCGGTCATCTACTGGATGTCTTCGACAGGCCATAAGAAGAAATATCCTATGTCAGTGCTGAGTCTTGTCATTGAGATTTTCAGATGTGCCTTTTTGGTCATTGGATTGATTCCCTCCTTCACTGTGCTGGATATTCTTGGTTTGCTATAATCTTACTTGAGCATGTTTGCTTAGCTGCCTGTGACTTGGCCTGTGATTGATCAGCCCTAGCCCCAAACCATGGAGGTTTTTTTTTGTATATTTTCTTTCAATATGTTTACAGTTTGGAGGCTTATATTTAACACTACAATTCGTTCAGGTTGATATTTTGGATGCAGATGAAGTTAAGTGTCTAATTTAATTTTTCTCCACGTGGATACACTTTTCCTTCAGCATGCCTACCCCCTCAGATGGTTTTAGTTACAACATGAGAAAATATGATATGATGCTGTTGTAACTAAAACCACATGGTACTTCAAAGAAAGAGCCCAGGAATGTGTGCAGGCATTTACAGCCAACAGATTTCCAACACTGTTCGAAGATGCTTGGAATGAGGATGGTACCCAGGGCTTGACACATGTCCATCAAAACAAAACCAATCCCGTAAGTCTGTATGTCTGGGTGGAGAGATTTCTCACGTTTTAGACAAGTTTAGTGAGTAAACAGGCCCCACCAATGAGGAGAACAGCCACGGCTGGATAAAGATGTCCAGTTCCAGGGTTTTTATGAGATGTGTCTACATCCCCATCCATTTTCAGCTTACACTGAGGCAAGATGTCTTGCCTAATTTTAAAAATCATTTAAAAATTATTTAATTATATGTGTATGTACACCATGTATGTGCATAAGCCTTGGAGGTGAGAAGAGACATTGTTTTTAACAGATGGTTGTGGTCTGCCATGTGGGAGCTGGGAAGGTGCTCATTTTTATAAAGTGAAATAATTATGGATTTGATCAAAAGAGTGTAAGACAGGAGAATGGGTATATTTAGTTTCAGTCCACATGAATAAAGTTAAACATTCCTTCAGGCCTCACCCACAAGTGCTTGTTGGTCACACCTTCATCAGCAACATCTCAAGATCAGAACTTTGGAGGGAGCCCACCTGCTACTGAACCCTCCTATCTTCCCTTCTCGTCCCTGTTTGATGACAGTTCTTCTAGTTGCAGTGGTGTGAACAGGAATTGCTACCATAGAGACTCATGTGTGTGAATGCTTGGCCATAGGGAGTGGCACTATTAGGGCCTTACTGGAGTAGGTGTGACCTTGTTGGAGGAAGTGTGTCACTGTGAGGGTGGGCTTTAAAGTCTCCTATGCTCATGCTAGGCCTAGTGTAGCAGTCTCCTTTTCCTGCCTGGGGATCAAGATGTAGAATGCTCAGTTCCTTCTCCAGCACCATATCTACCTACATGCCACCATGCTTTCCACAATGATGATAATGGACTAGACTTCTGAAAAGTGTAATCGACCCGCAATTGAAAGTTTTCCTCTAAAAGAGTTGTCATGGACATAGTATCTCTTCAAAGAGATAAATATCCTAACTAAGACACTAGTGAATGAAGATGTGGCTCTTCAGAACTTACCATCAGAGTGACAGATCTTTCCATATGGAACAGTCTATTTCTACTGTTTGAGATTTGGTTCATGATGAGGCAGACAGAGTCCTTGTGGGTTTCTGTGGATGCCCTTCAGGTTCTGAGCACCGTCCTTAGATTCTCAGGTCACCTCAGAGCCCTTGTGTGACAAGGTTCAATGTGAATGCAAGGACCTGTACC